ATTCTTATATAAATTAGATCGATCAAGCTAAAATTATTTCATCAATTAAGATTTTACAAATTGATTTAAAAGATTGTGAAATATTGCTGTAGGCGAGAAATAAGTATGAAAGATAGATTAAAAATGAATAGTAAACTATATTTATGAAAAAGAAACAGTCAAAGAAGGTTTTTTTTTTATCCTGAATATAATGTTACGACATCAAATGCAAAAGTGATGGAGAATTAAATGTACAGCATTTAGTTTAGAAAAAAACTAAAAGTTTATAGTAAGAAAATAATAACTGGTTACTTAATAATATTTCTTAGGATTTTTATACAACCAAACCTATTAAATGATGAAATCATACAATGATAATCCTACACCTTTATATAGTGTTATAGTAATATAATAATTTATTTACTAATAAATTTATATGCAGGAGAACTTCTTAAGTCTCATTATTTCATTCAACCCATATTCAACTTATACTACAAAAAACTAAATCTGAGGATTAATTAATAATGAAAAATTAAACAAAGTTAGACCAATGGACTTTAATCTTATTTTATGAATTCAAAATATGACTGATTGAAAAATCCAAACATTTATTTGCAAACAATACACAATAGCTAAATGCTAAAAAGTTACTCGGGGATCCGATCTGCTGAATTCTTTCCGCTGATCACTTGTCCAAAAATTTCGCTAAAGAAATTTTGAAATTATCGAGTTAACTAATATAAAAGTAAAGAAACAAGAAATCTGGATTCTAGTAAAGGTTTAAATATTATTTTAATTGGTATCAGAAACTATTAAATTAATATGGATAGGATAGTATGGACTACTACCACTGACTATTATCAACTACCACTATCTGATACGGTAATATTACCAAATGCAAACTCGTGGCTAAGAAACTTTGCAAAAACACATTCATTATCTTCAACATGTCTACTGCAATTTCAATATTGAAGAAACTGCAATAGAAATTATAACAATGAATTATTAGAGCAAATTCGACCAATGAATTTAAGAATTTATTACAAGAATTTATTGATCATAAAGTTTAACATGGGAATGTTTCTAGAGGCTCCTTTCTTTGTGATTTAGATTTTTGACCGTGTTTATTTGATTTCGTTGATTATCTGGTTTATTCTTTTCTCCAACAGTAGCGTTTAATGTTAAAGAGGTTTTGTTAGGCAATTCCATATTCACAATATAGAATAATATTAATATTAAATTTGCTGAAATTTTATCAGTCATCATTGCCATTGGTAACATTATAACACACCATGTCGAGCTTATAACTATTTCGGACATGGTTTAAAAAACTATTTTAACATTCAACCATCAAGGTTGTTGTGCTAAGTGTTGGGAGCCAAATCATATTACCGCAGAGTGCAGAGGAACTTGAGTGGAAACTCCATTAAAAACCAAAATACACAACAAACTGATATGATTATGATCTATTAGCCAATGGAATTATTAGTGATAATGATAATTTAATATTAAAAAATAAGAATATGTATAAGAAAATATATCTTAATATCAACAAAAAATATCAATATAGTTAAGGCAATTTTTTTTTAAAGAAGAGTATTCATATATATTATATACCATTGTATGAATAATGAGGTATCAAAAATAACAAAGAATAACTAGAAATTAATGCAGGAAGAAAAGCTGTTAATATTATGATAAAATCACTAGATCTAACAATTTTATCAGAAACACAATAATTTTGGAGCGGATAAGGCTGATAAAGAAATTGAATTTTTTTACTACAGAGATATGGATCGTACATTTTTCTCGTGAAGATAATCTTTTATCTTCACCATATTGGCCTAGCGAAGAGTTCCAAAAGAAAGGTCTTAATGTCATACTGGCATGATGAAGAATTTAAAAATTTCAGAATGAGTGCAAAGTATTCCAATAACGCCAATACTATTGAGAAAATTTCAGATCTTCAAATCCTTTCTTAAAAATTTTTTTTTTTTAATCTTCTTTTGATAAGGTGTTTTTACCTTCTTTTGATGAAGATGTTTTTACCTTCTTTTGATGGTGTTTTTTATCTTCTTTTGATGAAGATATTTTTTTCTTACTATTGTTTTAATGAAGATGAATTTTTTCTTATAAAATAGAAACTTGTTACCTAGATAATTATTCTTTATTTTTTGGAGATGATGATAATTTCGCCGGTATTGTGTCTTATTATTCCAGAAGAAAATTTGGATAAAATGGTATACAAAAAAATTGAAGATGATTTGGAGAAAATCAAATTTTTCTACCAATAAAGGATTGTCTTATTTTAATCTATACTTTTATGACAATGAGTCCAACAATTTTGATGTTAATGAGAATTCTAATAATGAAAATTATGAAGATTTTATACAACATATACAAAAAAACTACAAGATTTTCTCAACAAAATTAGTGCGAAAATGTGTTTTATTCAAAGAAATCCAAATAACAATATACCTTATAATTTTTTATTGAGTTATGGTCGTTGCAACATTACTGCTAATTTAAATATAGAAATGGAATTATTTCCTTCTCCTATTTCTACATAGTAAGGATTATTAAACTTTTCTTTCCAATATGATAACCCATGTCAACTAAAATCATTTTCTATTCTATAGGTATATTTTCTCTTTAGAATATAGCTATGATTTAAAGAATTAATAACAAAATTTATATTTAATTTGTTTAAATATACAAATCAAGACAAATGTGCTTATTGTCTCTACGTGAAGCTCTCTCTCGTACTGAAAGAGATATGCTAATAGAACAATTAAAAAACTATGCAAGATGAGTTATTTTTATGTAAACAAGAGTTAACTAAAGCGGACGAAAAATATGATGCTCTACAAGAATGATTTCTTCGTGCCAAAAGAAATGCTGGAAAATGGAAGATAAGATCGAGGAAATGGAGTGATATCAAAAATTTAAATTATTAATAATAGCCAATATTTTAAAAGTTAATATCTTGAATCAGCAAGCAAGCAAGCAGAGGAAGAGAATAAGTAAACTTCAAGTGAAGAAAAAATAACAATATTTTACAAACTGCTTTAATAAGATGATTAAAACATAAAAGCAATTAAAATGAAAGATAATTTATTAATTAAATACAAGATCAATCTTCAATCATATCAAGATACCCAAATTAAAGAATTGATTTGAAAAAAAGAAGATCAATAAAGTTATTATAGGAAATACTTGATCCTTCATTTGTGTTTGATAACAGAGAATTCGACGTACTGGTACTGTTATATTCACATCTGATTGACTTATCATTTTCATAATTGTTTATTTTCATAAACGTAAAGAACTGGTTTAACAATAACAGACTGCTTGATACGAATGATACGTCGCACAACATTCAAAATTCATTAAAATGTAAAAATATCAAATAGCAAATTAGCCGATATTATATCAATGATCAACGGGTACCAATTATTGGTTCACTTATCAGGATGTTCGTAACTCGTAAGTATACCATCTTTATTTTTTGTTTTCGTTTTCTTTTAATTTTAAAATCGGATTGTTTTTCCTCTTTTTTTTTAACCTAATCTATATTATTTGATTATTCAAATCAAAAAAAATTACAGGGCAAAAGCGAAAGAACTTATATAAAAATTCATTTCTTTTTTAGTAATTTAATTATATAATTCAGTTCTGAGTTTTTGTTATTATTGTAAATGGGTTGTTTAAAGTAATCAGAATTATTTAATTACAGTTAAAAAAAAAATGAAAAAATGTCCAAGTTGATATATTCTCATTTTTTAATTATGAAATTTTTTGACACGACAATTATAACATATGGAAGTTGCAAGAAAGGTTCAGGAAGAAAATTGCGTACTGAAACAAAAAGTTTCGATATTAACTAAGACAGAAAAAGGAGCGGGTAAAGAAGAAATCTTAAAATAGCCTAAGTCTCCTAGGATCGATAATAACTCAGCCAAAACACATAATATATTTTATAGATGGCTCCTAACAAATTACAATCTGGTAAAATTGTTGAAGAATATTAAAGACCAATCATAATTATAATTAGATAGTAAAATACATTTCTATCTTCTTTATCATCTTTATCATTCAAATTCTATAGAAATTCCAGTATAATCAATTACTCATAAGGAGCATATATTAGAATTTACAAAAATATTATTATACGCACCAGTTAATTTTGATAATAATCAACTAAATTAATGATTATTCTTATCTGAAGGTTAAGGTCTTCATTCCTTCGGTTCTAAACATCAAAACTCAAATTGAAGAGTTAGATACTAAAAATGTAATCTTTTTAAGAGGAAAATTTATCATGTGCACCGTTGCAAATTTTTCGCGCGTAGTCGATGCATAATCAGATTATATAAGCGAAAGCCAACATTTTTCTTAGAATAGTTCATTATAATTAATAAATCTTATCGTCTTAATCTCTAGACTCATTCTTTATTCATTTTATCCAACTTCACTTTTCTTCCCATCTAATTTCCAAACGAATTTGATAGATAATATGTTAGCTTACCATCGTGTCTTTTTGAAAAGTTTGATCATAACGATTTTCGCTATGTAGGCGACATATTCAAATTTTCTAATGAATTACGTTTGTGAAATAAATGACACTTATGCATTCAATTTACTGACAATCATTTCACCGAAAAAATTTCTCTGCTGACAGGGTCATTTCGGATAAAGTTTTCGCCGACGATCAATCAGGGAATTTAGGTTTAGAGTTAAGGTTTTAAGTAAGGGAATAGGATTAGAGTTAGAATAAGGTTTAGGATAATTAGATTATCCTGTGAAATGATGGGCGATGAGATGAACTAAGACCCTCATTAGCAATATTATTTTATAGCACGTATATAGTATATAGTATATCTTTATTTCATTATTAAGAATTTCCCATGAATAATTTTGTATCATTGAGTTAAAGAATAAATACTTTTAAATATAAATTTTTTTTATTATTAAAATTTTTTTTAAATTGAAATATTTTTTTAAAAAAAAGTCCTTTTTACAAAAAAAAACGCTAAATTTAAATTTAGAAATTATTAATTTTTTTTTTTTAACAAAATAAATTTAAAAAATTTAACAACAAAAAATTACATAATCACACAATCATCGTCTTTTTTACCATTACCATGACCATTACCGTTACCATTTGATCCAATATCATTTTTCTTTTTTGATTTTGCTTTACCTTTCCCACTTCCTTTACCACTCCCCCCTCCGTTGTTGTTGTTGTTGTTAATATTATCTATACTAAAATGTCTATTATTACCATACCAACTCGAATCCGCCATATTTGAACTCGACGCTGCCGATGCCGATGAATCTACACTATCCGCTATTGATATTTGTGAATTTATTGAGTCTTCTTTTTTGGCTTTTTTAACAAATCTCCGTTTTGGCGGAGATGGTGTTAAAGTTGTTGGTAAACTATTTATTGGACTCGTTATTGTAGGAACTTCTGTATCTGATGATGTTCCTATACTATTTAGCCTTGGAAGTGGGTCATCAATCTTATGATTTTCGAAAAAAAAGGGTGGTTATAATATTAGCATTTGTTTAAAAATATGAAAATGTATATAGTATGAATGACGTACCAATCCAAGCGGAATATATCTTATCAAGTGATTATTTAATGTGCATGGAAATGGTGCATTTGGGGAACATTTCGTGTGACATACCATATTACATTCTTTTTAATTTTTAGGAATTTTTAAAAAAAATGTAAGTTATTATATATTTGATGGTAAATTAATAAAAAATAATTATTAACAATTAAATACCTTCACACATGACAGCGTGTTTTTTAACAGTACTTTGACATATCTTGCATGTAACGGCTAATAAAAGAAGGGGGAAAAAAAACAATAATTTTAAAAATGATCGAAAAGTTAATTTTCAATTAAAATTTTTTTAATTAGTGATGCATATGATAAAAAAAATTTTTTACTAACGTTTGCCAAAAGAGTTCTTTACAAATCGATGCGGGACCATAGGAGTTGCTGCTAATAATTTTGTTGGAGTAAGAGCAACATTTGGAGAACTAGCTGACTTTCTACCAATTGTTGGGGTTGTTGATTCCGGTTCTGTAAGAGATTCATTATTACTATTCTCTATGATAGTATCATTAATATTACTAACGTTGCTAAGTGAACTTGGATTAAGTTCAGATAGTTTAGTATCAGATGTTATTCTTCGTAAAAATGGCAAACTTTCCTGGGTTCTCAATTCTTTTAACGCCCAATTACTTCTAATCCAATTATGTTTAAATAAATCTCGAGCAGTTGGCCTCATTGAAGGTTTCTTATGAAAGCATTGTTTAAGAAAATCTGTAAGATCATCAGACATATTTTCTGGCAAAGGAGGACAATCATCTTCTACTATTCTAAATAGAGCTGTCATTGCAAGAAGATCTGAATATGGAGGCTTCCCTGTTAATAATTCAATAATAGTACAACCTAAAGACCAAATATCTGATGCCGTTGACGCTCCTTTAAGTTCAATTACTTCAGGTGCCATCCAATTTGGTGTACCCGCAACTTCAGTGCTAACATGCTCCATCATTTTAAGATTTAACGAAACACCAAAATCTGATAATTTAACATTCCCATTTTTTGTTGTAAGAATATTTGCTGCTTTAAGATCACAATGTACAACTTGCTTTGTGTGTAAGTATACCAAACCCTCCAATATTTTAACTACATAAGAACCAACCAATTTCTCTGGAAAAGCTCCAAATGATTTAAGTGTATGTAGAAGGGAACCGTTTTCCACATATTCTAATATAATGTTAATATGATCATCAGTCATAATAAATGCTTCATATTTGACGACACTTGGATGAGAAAGTGATTTTAAAAGTTCAACTTCATGCATAAGTTGTTCAATCTCATCAGACATTTTCCCCTCAAGTTTAATTCTCTTGACAGCAACCATCTGCCCTGTACCTAAATGTAATGCTCTGTAAACTGCACCAAATTGTCCTTTTCCTATACAGTTACCTAATTGATATTGCGCAACTATTTCATCATCATTTTTTAAAATCAGTTTTTCTCTAGGTAAATCTCCGGAAGAACATGCTCCGCTCATACTTTCACGTCTCTTATAATCAGCATAACCAGGTATCTTATCATTTTTGTTTAATGATATTTCCGAAGTACGATCACTCTTATAACGAATATGAGTTTTTTTATGCGATGAATTACTTCGACTCATAGGTCTTTCTGATTTTGTTGGAGCTGGAGGAATTGGCAAAGGTGCAAGATCTTCAACAAATTCAGATTCAAGTTCCTCATCATCACGTTTTTGATCCACATATAAATGGCCCATTGTCACACTTTTTCGTAAACTAGGTTTCTTTTTTTGAAGGGTCGTACCGGAGTTTGATTGTGTATTATCGGTAACATTACTTTCTGTTGATACTTCAGATGTTTTTAAATCTGATGCGCTAGAATTTTTATCGTCCGAAGGATGTATTATCGAATTTGGATCGATATCAAGTGTTTTTTCTGATTTAGTGGGAGTTCTCTTATTTTTTACGAATATGTTATCATCATCATCATCATCATCATCATCATCATCATCGTCATTATTTTTATTTTCATTGTTATTATTGTTATTGTCATTGTTATTGTTATTATTATTGTTATTATTGTTATTATCATTGTTATTATTGTTATTATTAATATTGTTGTTGATATTACTATTAGATATCTCGCTCACATTTAATTTTTCCGACTTTGTCTCTTTAATTGAATCTGATTTTTCAGTTTGTTTAATGTTTAAATCTTTAAATTTATCAAATATTGGTTGCTCAATTGAAACATCAGAATTACGACGAACATATTTCCCTTCAACAGCGCGCTCAATTGCTAATATTGTAGCTATCACCTATAATCATATTCGAACAAAGGATGAATTAATATAATTAATATAATTAATTTAATATTTTAAGAATTAACATACTATGAATAATTTATTTTAAACGCACCCTCTCCATATGTTTTCCTTCAAACAAATCAACAGTTTGAAACAAATCCGAAGAATGTAGCCCAAACTAGAAAATGATTATACAATTGGATTAATAAAGTTTACGGAAAATAAAAAAAGAAATTAATAGTAATAAAAAAAAATATATATATATATACCTTACGAGCCGCGTTCAAAAAATTACTAATATTTTCCATCTTGATTAAAAAAAAAAATAAAAATAAAAAAACTTACTTAAATAAATAATGTGAATAATCAATTAAATTAATTCAAAAATATTTTTTCTTTCTTTTTTTTTTTTTCGTATAAAAATAATTCATACCTTTACAAAAGGTAAATCTTTTCGACTAATTTGTGGTATAACATCTGGTTGTAATTTATTCATTAAACTTTAAAAAATTGTAATTGAATAATAATAAAAATAAAACAATGATTATTATATTAATTATATTAATTATTTTAATGAAATTTTGATCTAATGTTACTTATTTAATGGACAACATTAATAATAAATATTTTATTGGTAACATACCTGCATAATAAAACACCGTCTTTAAGAATCTCATGCAAGTCATTTCCAGATAATTTGGAACCTAATGTTTGTTCAATAAATTCTCTTGCAGCTTTCTGATTACTAGAATATCGTTCCTCCCGAAGAGATTCGAACAAACGATCTGTACTGATTGAAGGTTTCCTAGATTTTTGAACAATAATACGGTTCGGTTTTACAGTAACTAACGAAAGTTCTGAAGTCATATTTATGTATATAAATAAAAGGAAAGTAACAGTCACTCTAGAGAAAGATAAAATTCTCGAGATAATTTGTACAATTGCTGGAACAAGTACACTCGATAAAGTTTCCAAGAAAACAAATTCGGTTGCAAATTCGGATGTGTATAGTTACACTGCCCCACCATTCGCCAATCACATAAGATTCTTTCAGCCGACAAATCTTGTACGGTAAAAATTATTTAAAAATTTCTTGTAAGCCAGAGTTTATTAATGATAAATTTATTAATTTATTCCCCTGGAAAACTAATTAAAATTTCAATTCAAAAGGCAAAATTTACATGCTGTACATCTGATTTTAAGCAGTTTAATTTTAAAGATGATTAAAATGGTCAAGCAGATGTACGCAGATATGTACAAAAATTGTACAAGGAAGGAGTCCATATGGTTTCCCAACAATCTACCTTTGGGAATAACTGGTAATTTCAATAAGAAATAACTTGTGTTCCAGGAATCGCCAATCATATTCCCATTAAGTTCACGTGAATAATACATTATTATGTCGTAAAAAATTAATGTACTACATCAGTACATCTGTACATTCTATATAATTTATAGAATTCAAGGGGTGGGAGTAGGGGATACATACTATACTATTTTACTATTTCTAAGGGTATGAATACGGAACTTAAGTTTAAATACAGATAGTTAGATAGTTTTTGGTAATAATTATTTAATTAAGTTATATATTCATAATCATTAAGAGATGAATATATAAACTAACTATGTCGAGTACTTATAAAAGCTAACTTTTTGTACAACTATTCTTTGGAAAGCGCAATTATAATTATTATTTATCTACATTGTTTGATAAGAATATCAACCATTTTTTGATATTCTGATCGAAATCTACTATCAATCCTTTCTTTTTTCCTTTTTCCTTTAATAAAAAAAAGGGGAATTTTGTGATTTGTCGATCTTATTCATTAATAAGCTTCAGAATCTCTGACATATGCAACCCTTCCGAGATCTTTTTTTTTTTATTAAAATTTGGTCTCGGAAATGGAAAAACTTTACAACTGCAGATAAGAGTTCAACCGAAGGAGGAATTTTCAAATATTATTTATTAAGCATTAACATATGAATAAAAAAAATGACTTTGATTTTAATATATTTGTACAAAATGGTTCCACCATCGAATAATTCACTGCAAGTTCCAGACTTTAGAAGAATACATAAAAGGAAAGATCCAAAGTTGGAGTGATGGATCTAGAAGATCACATGTAGGTCATTTCTTTTATTGGATAATACCAGTCGAAACTATTAAAACACCTGGCATTATGTACATGACTACATGTGTGCATTATGCTGATGTTAAATTTTTTTTTTTTTTTTTTTTTGTGTGCAGTAGGACTGGTCCTGAGGACTGACCAGTCCTCATACTGGTCTTCTCATAATAAATGATTTTATATTAAATTTAAAGCTCAAAAAATTTTTTTGTTTGCAAAAAAAAAAAGCAAAAAAAACTGATCAGTCTTAAAAAGACTGTGGTTCTTAAAAATACTGATGGTCTTATTGTATGTGATATAGGGCTGAAAGACCACAGTCCTACACCAAGATGGACTGGTTTGTCTTTTCAAGGTGTAAGACTGTAAGACCATGATCTTTTAGGACCAATGAGCATCCTTAGTAATAATAGAATTAAATAAATAACTTACTCCCTATATTATTAAATAATTTTTTAAATAATGAATTTAGTGAGTTTAAATTATATGTACATATCACAACAATGAGTTATGATAGAATTAAATA